GTCAGTCACATGACTGAAAACTATGAATTGGAATTTTCCATGAAATGCAATTTCCATTGGAATGCGTACAATCGGCATATTTTCAATTATTTAAATGCACATTCATCTGTTCCTGTTAATGTCTTCCTTGTGAAGTACTGGAAATGATCGGTCTATCCATTTTAGTCATTCTTATTACATGTACTCAGTGACGTAATCGATGAGCACAATGAATTGAAAACGTCAAGAAACATGAGTCATGAGACTGCTTACAGTGCTTTACTAGTCTGTATAAAAATTTACGTTCATTTCTTTGGATATCTGTAAAAACAACTTTATGCACTTCAATCTCACCTATCTTTGTCATAGAAGTCCATAGCTTTCTTGGTCTTATTGTATGCAGCCACTCTGAAAGGGATAATCTCCACAGAGGTGAGTCCAGGTGCCATGGACAGAACTTTACCTCCATGAGTTGGTTCATAAAGGTCCTTCCCTGACTCTGGGTGGGGCATCCCAGCAGGATCACGACCCACAATGTAGAAATTAGAACCTGCTACCATCCTTGCACGACAGTGCCACTGGACCTGACAGACCCATGGACAAGGTTAGTATTTGTAAGGGTGGCACTAATATGCTATGTGTAAAATAAAGCTTTATTTAATCTACCATTCTAAAGATTTTTTATTTTATTGATTTTTTACTTCTTTTTTTTTTAAAGTAAAACAGTAATATTGTGAAATATTATTACTATTTTACATATTAAAATGTATTTCGGCCATATTATTTTTTTTATCAATCCTTTAGAAATCATTCTAATATCCTGATTTGGTGCTAAAAAATAAATAAATAAATAAATAATTTATTATCAATGTTTAAAACACTGATACAGGATTCTTTGATAAATAGAAGGTTCAAAAGAACATAATTTATTTTAAATAAATATCTTTTGTTACATTATAAATGTATTTACTCTTACTTTTGATCAATTTAATGGATCCTTGCTTGAAAGTCTTAATTTCTTTCAAAAATAAAATATATACCGGTACCCCAAAATATTGGATCGTGGAGTAAACTAAAAAAGTGATTCAAAATGCTTAGCATTACTAAAAATCTGTGTGTGTAAGGCTAGAACTTCCTAAAAGGGCTCTATACAGTATGTCATTGTTCAAATGCATGTATGAAAGAACACCTAGTATGTACCTCTGTAGGCCCAGCGTACATCATAGGGGAGGGAAAAATGGCCACAATGGTGGACTTAGGGTCTAAAATGCCGTCATCCAGTACGGCAGCATGCTGTTTCATTCTCCACTCTAGAGGCACGTCATCATCTTTGGTCCAGCCACCCAAAGGATGCAAAAGTAGCACTGGCCTACGATACCCACGTTCCTCCAATCGTTGACGCGTGTCAGTCATTAAAAGGGCATGGCCATTGTGCACCGGGTTCCTCAACTGAAAAGCAAACACTGCGTCTGGAAAAACAATAAAAATTGTTTTCAATTCCAGTTAGTGCTTTAATTGGTTGTTGCGTAACCATGGTGGACCAAGTCCAGAATATCATTCATTTCTCAAGAGGGTAAGAACCTACTAAGCCAGAAATCCAAGACTGAATCACATAATTCCCTACTATATAGTTGGCAAAAAACAGTAGTACAGTAAAACAGCAGAAGTACGTCTGAATTCACAGTACTCATGAAAGAGTAGGCAGAAAGTACCCGGATGACCTACTTCTTCCAGAGATTCTGAAGTGTACATATGAACACTTTAATATCCCATGAGGCCAATGCAGAGGATTTATGAATGGCAGTGAAGCGACATATGCTATCACGTGATAATGACAACATGGCGAATGTAGTATTACATTCATATTTCAAGTTCAGACACTCATACTATATAGAACATATTTTTATTTAGTTGTAGGGATAGTTCACCTCAAAAATTAAAATTCTGTCATCATTTACTCACCCTAACCCTAACCCTAATTGACTTCCATAGTATTTTTTCCAATACTATGGAAGTCAATGGGGCCCATCAACTGTTTAGTTACCAACATTCTTCAAAATATCTTGAAATTCATACAGGTTTGGAACAACATGAGGATGAGTAAATGATTTTGGTGAACTATCCATTTAACTGTTCTCTTTAACCAATTTGCGTATACCTGCTTTCATCTCTTTAAATCTCTGCTTCAGCTCCCTTGGTGTGAGACGGTACTGATCCAATTCATCATTCCATCTGATTCGCTCCAATACCTCAAGCTCACCGCCTACCAGCCAGTCACCGCTTTCCAAAACCATCTATTCACAGGTAAGCGGTTAAAGAATGTAGTTAATGTGCATTTGTGAGTTATAACAATCATTCATTGCAACCGTTGTATTCTCATTTTTTTTAAAGCAAGTATTATGAATTTCAGTTATTTAGTTGTATTATTTAAGAAACAAATTGTGCCATTTTGAAGCCCTTTTTCTTGTACAAATACTGAAAACCTGTATTCAGCTGAGACTTCTTAAAGGTTTCCTCAATACTTTAGTATTTGTTATGCATTCATTATCGTGACACTGGTTAAAACATATTTAATACCTTTATGTAAGGGTGTTTTGGACAGGTTGTCCCCCACTGGTGAGCACATCGCTCTTCCCTTCGATGTTCAAAGAACTCAGGGTTGCGTAAGATGGCGACGCGTTTTCCCTGGTACTCCAGAGCCAGAGCTGCACTGCCTTGAAGACGTTCTTTAATCTCGGTGGCAACAGGAAGGACAATGGGTACTGAGAGGTTGATGGTACCACCTGTATTTAGGGATAGGTAAGTTAATCAACGCATATTATAAATCATTTTTGAAGAGATCACTTTATCTATTTATTCAATAATTAAGGAAAAAAACAGCTAAATTCACATTTAAACATTTAACAGAAGGGTTTATCCAAAGCGACTTACAAATGAGGAGAACAATACAATCAATTAAACCAACAAAAGGGCAACAATATTTTTAATAGCACATTTTTTTTAAAAGAAAAAATAGATATAATACAAATAAAGTAGAAAGTGTTAATGAATCGAGCCATTTTCAAGAAATGGCTAAAGACTCAGCAGCTCAGTTTGAGTAAAACAGATCATTCCATTTTCAGATCATAAAAGTCTGTGAAAGTGATTTTGTGCCTCTTTGAGATGGCACCAGTAGACGCTTTTAACTTGCAGAACACACTTTTTTGGAGGGCACATAATTTAGGTATAGGGAAACAGAGAAAAGATTGGTGCCTTGAATTTGATGGGAGTGGCTGTTGGTAACCAGTGCAAACTGGTGAAGAGAGGTTGTGACGTGCTCATTAGCATCATTATTAGCTACCTGCTCGGTTAAATGCTCCTAATAATGTATGTCAGTACACTGAATATTATTCGCTTGCATGCATTTGCAAATACTTTGAAAATACTGCCTCCTCCCCTGACCGATGTTTCCTGACCAACCGAATTAAAGCAAGCAAAGCGTGCGAGTTTCACAGAAAGCCAGATCATTGCATCATTCTGTCTCCTGCAAGCAGCACTGGCACCTGCTATTTTATGGATGAGACATCTTCTCTTTCAGCCTTCTGCGGCTGGAGCCATCGCCAACATTAAAACGATTATCCTGACTAAGTGTGATTACTTGTGTGTGAATAAAAACAATTTGTACTAATATTTGGAAGGAGATGTCTAGTACTGCAACAGGAGACTGCCGATGGCTAAAACATTTGAGACACCTTTTTGAATGTGTGTGCTTGTATGTTACCATCCAGGAGGGTGTTGAAGTGAATGACTTGTAGGTATTCTCTCTCCTTCATGAAGCCTTTCAGAGGAGTGGCCCATCCTTCAGCCAACACCTGCACCCACTGTAAGTCCAACTGAACACACAAACACAGAAAGCTCTTTACAAATGGAACATTTAGCTAATATCATATTCTTCAAAATGTCTTGCTATGATTGATTGTCTGTAGGAAGGATTATGTAACAACTTTGTGCAATAATAAGTGAAAATACGTCTCAAGTCCCCCTGTAGTTAATAATTGTATCCATTAATACTAATTGTTGATAACCAAAATAACATATTTAAAAGTTTTGTCCTGTGAAAAAGATTTATTCAGGCCATAAAATAGCTTGAATGTAACTCTACACCCTTTGCGGACTCATGAATGTGCGTATTAGTCCCCGCCTTGATGTATCAGAGTGGTAATGCATTTTATGTATGGCTCTCTACAATGTTGGACTGACACATAACGATAGTTAATCTGATTAGCCTTTTGCTTGACTGAGTTATCAAACAGCTAATAATGTGTTGCTAATGTTACACAAAACTATGTTCCCGTTCGCCATCCTAGAGTCAGAAAGCTGCCTTCTAAAAATAAGCACCCTTAGAAATGCTTCAAACTACTGAAAGGCATATAATTCATCATAACATCGTAAAATACATCACATACATAATTTACCCATTATATTGCTAAATGTACCAGATTTTTCATATAAACAGAAAAATATAGCGGGACAACCTGGCTTCTCTTGAGAGAATAGTTAATGGTATGCAAATGCCCACTCACACAATGATATGACTTGTTATAAGGTAGTTTATGAGTTTAAGGGGAAAAATATGCATCAATGGTGTTGACTTAAAAATGTGTACATGGTTTGTCTTAAAGCATATTAAAAACACCACATAGACATATAAACAACAATAAAAACTTGATACTTTAAGAACTTTAAGGAACAGAATTTAAATTGTTATTGCTGTGGGATTCTGGAATAAATTTGCATCGTAATAAAGGAACACTGTTCACAGGCTGATAAAGCTGCTATGTGTCATCCTGTCAATAATTCACTCATATTTATGAACACTTGTCTTGAACATGTGTTGTCCTTGGCCTTGAGGACCAATGCTACCTGTTACCTTGGTGATGCTGATAGAGGGCAGGGTGTCTGCTTCTGCCCGTGTCTGCTTGAGTCTGTTCTCGGGCACAAACAGTTCATTTATCTCCTCTACAACTCCACTGGGAACAATGCTCTGAGAAAGACAGAGAAAGAGGTGATCAGGTGGCCTGATCTGACACTTGAAAAATACTTTCATTGCTGAAATTGCACCGAAGTCAGGTTTGTTCATTAATAGTAGATAACTTACTTGATGTGAATGAAAGCAGTTCATTTAAATTTTACAACATGAAGTACATTTTCTTTAACCGTTATTAATATTGTACTTATATAATAGTTTGTACTTTAATACTATCATTTTTTCGAATGTTCATAATGTTTGGCCTGGGAAAGTTGATATCATCAACTATCTACCTTTAGCCAAAGATACCTTTGTTAAAATTTTATTAAAGATTTTGTAAGAACTTTACATTGTTGTGCTTGGAATCAATTGTTTTATATGTGATAACACAATGAAACCTGCCTGTACTTTGCATTTTTTGCCAAATAATTTTGTCAGATAAATTCTGACATGATGAAAAATAAATATACTAAAATGTATTTGAAATACATTCATTGTATGCCAAGTATACTACAAATATATTATATTTATATTTTATAATAATATTTTCCTTATATTTTTATGGTTTAATACTAGTTGAGTAATTAAAAAAATCTTTGGCCAATACTGCATAAAAATATATTATTTTTGTGGAAACCTTGATTTGTTTTATTTATTTATTTTTCAGGATTCTTTGATCAATAGAACATTCAAAAGATTATTATTATTATTATTATTAACATTATTATATAGTCTTTTATATTCACCTTTGATCAGCTAAGTATTCATTTAAAAAAAAAAAACTACATAAGGCTGAGTAAATAATGACGTTTTATTAACCATATAAAATTGTATTACAAGGAAACTATAGTAAAAGGGCCTTCAGACAGATCTGTAGCCAGAGGCTTGTTGTAATACCTGACATTGACTTCAACCTTGGACTTCTGAGTTCTGACCATGAGGTACTCTATAAAGATAATTTTAGGCTACATGCACCAATGGGAAATGGTAAATAAAATGTATTCCCAAGCCTGTGTGGCTCCTGACTGACCTGCTCCTTCAACAGGTTCACCACCTTCTGAATGCATTCGTTCACTGTGAGCTCTCCGGTCTTCAGAATCAGCTCAGAAGTCACTGGGCACTCATACATAGAATCTATACCGGTGAAGCCTGGGAGAGAAATTAAGCATGTAAAACAGAGGAAGATGGGAATGAAAGAAGAAAGTTGAGTATTTATGTTTAGTCTGCTCTTTTTACAGGATGTGTCTATTGTTTTCTGTTAAGTTGTTTTGTACTTTTTGTTTTAGAGCAGCCTTTTTAAAGTTAACATTTTTATACATTACCTTTAATCTCCCCAGCTCTTGCTTTTTTGTAGAGTCCTTTAACGTCTCTGCTCTCGCACACCTCCAGAGGAGCATTTACAAACACCTCAAAAAATGGCAAACCTGCTTTCTCATGGATGGTCCGGGCCTCTGCACGGTCCTGCAGAGTAAAGTTGAGCATTATGTATTTTATGAAACATTTAATTAAAAATGCTCAAATAAAGAAAAAGAAAAGAAAAACAAAGTGTTTGTTGGTCTTTGTGTTGCATGCAAGCTAAAAGGGGACCGTGCTTTTGCAGTAGCAGCTCCGAAATTGTGGAACGATCTACCTTTTAGAAACATTAGACAGGCATCATCATTGCCTGTTTTTAAGTCTCTTCTAAAAACCTATCTTTATTCTTTGGCTTTTGATAAGTTAAACTGAAAATCCAGGTTTGGTTATGGTTTGGTTATATTGATTTTATTGTTTCATTGTATGGTTGTGTAAGGCTTTTTATGTATGTATTGTTTTATTGTACATGTCAGTCATGAAACTGATAATCCAGGTTTGGTTATATTGGTTATATTGATTTTCTTCTATGGTTATGTAGGGATTTTTTATATATGTATTGTTTTTACTGTACAGGACTTTGTGTCCAAATTTTTTTGGGAATCTAAAGTGCTCTATAAATAAATCTTGCTTGCTTGCTTGCTTGCTTGCATGTTCACTTGTCTGTTCGGCTTATTCTCATTTGTATGTGGCTTTGAATTAAAACCACTAAGTAAATGTTAAGACCTTTTGTACTGCAGTGAAAAACCCATTAACATTTATCCTAGAAGACACATTTGATTTAATAAACCTTGCAAAACCTAGTTCAAGCAATTTCACTGGTTTAGTGATAAAGTAAATCACAGTCACTGGTGTGGTTGCTCACTTTGGCAAACGGCGAGATGAAGCTTGTAATGCAAACAAGCCCAGCATCTGCAAATAGTTTGGCCACCTCAGCAATACGCCGAATATTCTCCTCTCGATCCTCAGAAGTAAAGCCCAGGTTCTTATTCAGCCCGTGACGGATGTTATCACCATCCAAAGAGTAGCAGGGAATGCCGTGAGAGACCAGATACTCCTCTAAAGCGAATCCCAGTGTTGTCTTACCAGCCCCTGATAGACCTGCACATACACACACCATGAAATAGAGATTCCTTACAGTTGGATATCATTTGAAAAGTTTTTCTTTTTAAAGAAATTAATACATTAAATTGGTTAAAAAAATGCAGTACAAAAATTTACCCTCAGTTACAGCGATTACAATGCATGTTTGAGCTCTTTTAACTAAAAGGAACTTGCACTGAAGTGTCTTAAAATTTGTCAGTGTCATTGTTTTGTCTAAAGATGCACACCTAACTGAACTAAGGCCTAATCCTGGCTTAATTTAAGCCCTGCCTGTGAAACTGGGCCTGCCGCCTAATAATGTATTGGTTTCAACACAACAGTTTTCAACATTGATAAAAATAAAAATGTTTCATGATCACTAAATCAACATATTAGAATGATTTCTGAAAGATCAAGACTGGAGTATAATGTCTGCTGAAAATAAAGCTTCGCCATCAAGAAATAAAAAACATTTTAAAATATACGATTTTTTTTAAATTATAACAATATTTCACAATATCACTATTTTTACTGTATTTTTGATCAAATAAATGCAGCCTTGTTTGTCAAATAAATGCACATTTCTGTTTTGGTGTTCTTGATCCATACTGATAGGGCAGGGAATTACGAGACACATTTTTTTAAAAAAAAAAATTAATGTATTTCTTATTAGTTGGCGCCTGGGGTTTGAAGTTCAGACCAACTTGTTTTACAGGCATCACAGGTTTGTGATTTTATTTCTCTATTAAATTTGCTTGGCCTGACATCTCGTGTGATATCTACTGTTTTTAAAGTGTAGAAATGCATTACCTGTGAGCCAGACTGTACATCCTCTGAAACCTCCTCTGGTTCCTACGATCTGCCCCCTCTTGCTGCGGCTGACATGATGAGCCTGGAATACCACATTAGTGGACTTTTGCAGATCCTACAAACACACATGGAAATATACTAACATTTAGAGCAATTTGTGTAGTATTAGTATCTTATATACTATACCTGAGCACAGAATACACAATGGGCTTTAATACTCCAGTTATATTTTTTGTTTACCATACATCCAAATTTACGCATTTGGCAGATGCTTTTGTACTATTGCTTTTTGACACCAAGGAAGTTTGTGTCTTATGTATCCCCGGAGCTTGTAGCCGCATTGCATTCAAGAGATTATGCAATCCGTGGTTATCAAACCCTATATTGGCATTAACAGTGCCTTGCGCTGCTGTTTAAACCACAGAAATGCTGTAACTCTTCATGCACTTTATTCTAATCCACTAATTTACTCACTGCAGTTCAAGTCTCATAAACTCATAATAAAAAATTATAATATAATAAAAAAGTTTTTTTTACATATATATATATATAATCATTATATATAATATATAATCATTATTTATTATGCTATACAGTACTATATTGTTAGATTCTAATTCAATAAATAAAATTTGAATCTAATTTATTGTATTAGAATTTGAATTGAATAAATAAGAACGGGAAACATAAAGAATTGAATGATTCTGGTTCTTTAACAGTTCCATTAACAAGTACAGTACACCGTACAGAAATACATATTTGCAAAAACCAACAACAACAACAACAACAACAAAACAATTACAACAAAAGATGCATTTACAGATTTTTAATGCCTTTTTACAGTGCATTTACAGGCTGTTTTGTTCTAGTTTTTAATAAAAACTGTTTCTTGGTAGAGAAGTAGCTTTTTCCTGGGTATGGTTTCGTACAGATACTATAAATGAAATTCCATGACTTTCAAGGATTTTTCAAGGACTACTTTTTTAGTTTTCAATGACTACCATCTGAGATCTCACTTATCAAAAAATATTCTTATATTTTAAATTCTAAAAAAAGCTAAATAGATTTGTAAAACAAACTGGTACAAATAAAGAGCAGCACATGCACAATTAAAATTACTGGGTAATAACAAGGTACTAACCCTGAACCTACCCCTAAACCTACCCCTAACCCCTGTACTTACCTTAGATTAGCCAGTACTTTAGTACACTGTAAGTACACGTAAGTACTGTACTGTAAAAGGAAGCGTTACCGCATCTATTTAGCATAGCATTTATATAGTTTTTTAGATAATTTTTTGTAGCCTAGTTAGTTAGTAGCATAGTACAGTTAGGATAGCTTCAAATTAGCGTAGATTTATCTGTGTTTAGTAGTGGTCAGTATAGTAATGGAATAGAGGTTGACATGGGCTTCTCCACACAGTGCCAAACACTTCTCCTCCTGCACGGACTCCACCACCGCAGCGGCGTCTTGATGTGAGTGATCATGTACATTTTAATCACAATTTATGGTTAGGCTAAAGTTAATCCTCTGGGGTCGACAAACGCATCGGCGCATTTTCCTGGATTTTTTCACATAGCGGCAAAATATCAATATGAATATATGCTTACAGAGAGTGCGCTATTGACATCAACTCGACAAAACTCATCAGATGCCGATCTCGATGCAGGAGTTAAGATCGCAGTTTGAGCCAGCGGCTGGAAATGATATGGCCCTGTGTCCACATACAATTCACCCTCCTCCACTTCAGGTGAAGGTGGGGGAAAGTCCTCAACTTCAAATGACCGCTCTGTTGCAAAGCTACTTGCGTCACTCCAGTCACTCTCCATTTTAGAGTCTAACAGCACCTGTCACTGCGGGTCTGAGGTGCACATCCACCGCTCAGTCCCACCCTCGGTTCGCCCCCTCTATCTCTGCTGGGGTCTGCACATTTTATTTAAAACACATTTACTTGTACTTGAGTAATATTTTACCTTGAGTATCTTTACTTTAACCCAAGAACAAGGTAGGTGTACTTAGTCCACCACTGCTGAGAACTATAGGTTGAAAAATACCGTTTGTGCAGGACGGGCTGCAGGAAAACCAAGCTGCTATAAACAAACCATTATATTCATTAACTAGGAATGTATGCAGCGACTTTGGACAGGACGCATCCTTACACAGGTCAGATGCAAAAATCTAATTTTACGCCCTGGCAATTTGATGGGCCCGACGATTTCTGAACCGATCATAATTATTCCTCAATGGATCGAGACCAGACCGAACTTCCCGACCAAAAAATGTTGTGGGCGGGGTTCGGGCTGGCATCCAGGCTCACACACAGCCTTTTCCTTTTTTCCCATCCCATCTCAAATTTACTTGTGGAGTGCTTAAAAAACAAATAGATTAATTCATTACACACACGACTTCCAAAGAATCCCACAAACAGACCACCTTTCTTAAACACATACTGTTTCTCTGTTAAGCCAGACATGCAGTGTCAGAAGGCTTTTATGAATGAACACTGTACTAACAGCCTGAATAAGTGAATGACTTGCATTAAACAAGCTGATTATAGTCTGAGCTCTGAACAGGGTATGTTGTTTTCTGGATTTTTGTCTTTCTGACTGCAGTACCGATTTTATATTTCAGTGTATTCTAAGACAACAAATCAGGGCAGAGAAATTTTGTAACGTCTTTGATGGTTTGTCTTATAAAACAATGTTTTATATCTGACTCCGACACCTGGCTATCTACCCCAAACTGAATGTGAAGGACTTCTTTGTCCTTTTGAGTAGAAAATGACAGTGAAGGCAGCCATTATCACAACGTTATTCCAGATACTTTAAATCACCAAAATCACAGTGTTCTTTTTTTCAGCTATCACTTGAAGTGATTTTTAAAATGTTTAAATGATTTGTTAAAATGTATTGAAAATAGGCAGTTAAGAACTAACTGCTCCCTTTTACTTTTATATATATATATATATATATATATATCAATAAATAAATATATAGGCCTATATATATATATATATATATATATATATATATATATATATATATATATAAAGTAAAAGATTTGTCTGAGTGTTTTTACACTCAATATAGCCTACATGCACAAAAAACAATGTTCATGTGCACATTGCCTCTCTAACTGAACTCTGGTCTATGACTCAGTACTGACATGAACTCTAAGACAGAGCACTATGGCAAGCGTAAAACATTTCATATTGTATAGATAGAACTGTGCTATTTCCAAATATTACAATAAATTATTCAATATTTGTACAGTTATATTAGCAATATGTACAAATATTAGGAATGATTATAGAAATAGCACATTACAGTAATACTTTTTATTTTATCTAGCAATTGTTTTGCAACCATCTATTTCAAAACATTCTTAAATTAAGAAACTATTCCAGTATTATAATATTTTTGTGATACAGTGGTTCGTTAAACAAGTGAACTCAGTCAAATTACACTGGCATATTTTCTAAAAGTTTTAATTAGACTACGGTATTTTTTCATAAGTGGTAGGGTGTCACATTATTTTAAATGGTATAAATGTATAGACAATTTATTAATTTCAGTAGGCCTACCTGGCCAACATAATGGAATTATATTTCTGCTTACATTTTACTTTTTTTTTTCACGACATTAAAATTCAGAATTGTTTTACTAAATGTAGCTAAGGTAAACTTTTCTGCTCTCACGTTTTTTATACGTCTCACTTTTTAATATTCATCATTTTGTTGACAGTATTTCAGTTATACACATTTAACAAGCTTTTTGTCAAGCCAATATATGTCTAGCCTATAACACAGATTTGAAGTAGAGCGCTTGTCTAATATCTCCCCAAATGATCGCAGGCAATTATATAACACATAAAAAAAGTTGGCTGAAATGTCGACGAACCCTATGTTTACGCATCTTAGACAACTCTTACTAAACACTTACACACCGATTGCATAAATGTCAACAAAGAAAAAGGCAGCTCTGACAAAATAAACAATCCCCACGACAGAGAAGTTTTGCAAGCTACGGCTCTCTGCCAAATCTCACCGGGTTTAGTGCTGTGTTTCCAGGCATCTCGCTCCGGTGACGTGCGCTCTGGTTTGGACTTTAGCTCGGAGGGGCGGACTGAACGCGCAGGTGAACTTTTAGAATGTAGTTTGTGGAGATGCAGAAAGAGAAGTGTTTTTAACAGCGATCCGCGACACGTCGCATTCCAACAGTCCAGCTTTCGTCCCACCTCCCGGGACCCACAATCTGCATACGGCTGAATGGAGAGCAGTGTACCGGTATGAGACTGTAAGGCACGGAGGAGGGATCAAGAGCTACGGGATAAAGGGGGCGGAGAGAAGGATGTGAAGAGAAAAGAGCCCCTTGTTCTGCGTTCAAGTGTAAAATCAAATGAATATGATTTTGGGAAGAGTGCAAAAGATTTATGGAATCGACTTTTTAAAATTGTCGTCAACTGCCATATTCACTATAGACATTTCCATGAGTTTTTGTATTGTATAAACTTTCTTACTGATATGAGGTACAAAATTGCATGCAAATTCAATCCACTAAATGACACATTTTTACATACGATTTATTTATTTTATAAATGTGGTCTGGAAATAAAATCAAACAGGCAGTACATACAGTACTTGACAAAATAGTCTTTGGTTTGAATAGATCATTTTACATACAATTGATACTTTAGTAGTAAGCAAGAACAAAAGACTCAGGAGACCCTAACAAAACCAATCATTTACAATTCAAGCATGTAAACAATGTACAACCACTGGGTCATGATTTTAAAAAAATCATGTAGAATTTAAAAAATGAACCAATGTGAAGACCGTCCTTTACTAAAAGTGACATTGTATAGTGCTGAAAGATTTTTCATGTGAAATGTCAAATGTGCTTATTTGTTTAATTGGTTGGTTAGAACTGATTTCTCTGCTTTCTTTCTGTCTTTAATATGTCCTTTTCTTAAGGTACTCTATTTTGGAAGTTTCTGTCTCTTATTGGTCCATGCAGACAGTAATTCAGTCCATAAAATCAGTAGGCTAAGTAATAGTACGGGGGTAAATTGTGTTATACTTATATAACAGATAACTTTTTCTACCATACTGTTCTACCAACAGTTTTCAAAATGTTATTCAGTGTCAGTGGGCTGGGTAGTGAGTTGTATTGTTCTTTTATGTTCATGAATGAATTTTACACACAGTCTCTTGGTCACAACCCCCCAGTAGAGCGCTGTAGTGTTTCTTCACATCCTCATACACAGGGACAGGGTCGGTAAGTCCAGGCAAGGTCAAAGATTTCTCATTGAGTCGCACACCAATTCTTATTCCCCCCGGGCATTTATAGAGCACTACCAGCAGATTGGCAGCGTATGGCACAATGCGTCCACTGCGAAATATTCTATTCTGTTGGGTTGCAAAGTTAGTTGATTTGAGAGGGACGTCATCCTTGAAGAGATCCAGCAGGGTGAGGAGGGGTATCAGTGTCTCAGCGTGGCCAACCTGCACCGTTACAGCCTCTGATACAGTAACACCCGAGCTGAGAAAGAGAGAGAGATTTTTAATAGCTTTTTTTTACATTTTTGTTTACATTAACTGTCAATCAAATTGACCCACAAACATTGTAATTGTATTTAAAATGTTGTAAGCATATTCCACAACACAGTGTGTCGACACTTTACAGGCATGTTTATGACCATAAATGAGAAAAGTAACAAAAATTCAAGCAGAAAACTATAATTCATCCAGTATTTCAGACAATTAAAAAAAAACTAAATTGACCTTCAACCTAATACGATGGTTAATCCTGTGTCTAAAAATAATGCAATATAATACTCTATCTTAAATAGTCCTGAATGCATGTCTTTCAAGTTCAAGTAAGAGTTATCTCACATTGCCCTTTCATTACAAAACCACAACTACTTGAATTACAAATACTGGTTTGGATTTTTAGCTGACATTAGAGTCAGCCCTAGGTACTGTGGGTTTCTACCTTCCTACTGTTTGCTACCACTGATTCTAGAGGAGTGCTCCGCAACCTTTGAACACGAACAAAGGTGATCAACAAACACAAAGAGAAGGTGAACGGGAAATTTCACAGCTAAAACCCAACATATTGCAGAAGAGAATCAGCAATTGTCACACAATCATTCATAAAGCACATTGATCATTCATGGGCTGTGCAGGGATTTCTGAATAGGTCAAAGCCATAATTTCGTAAACACACATTTGGTAAAGCCAGTAAAAAGCTGGGCATCAAAAAATGTCACTGCAAATAGGCTGATTAATTGCCAAAGGGAGGAAGATTTGTCCGTGATAATGAGACTATAACAAAGAGTTTTAGGGAGTGTACAGTATTCACTTTTGCTTTCCACTGTAAACGAGATACAAAAAAATTTGACCATTGTACTCACATTTTTGCAGCATCATGCGTATGACAGCACTAAGTTATAAGTAGTTTTAGAAAACACATCTCTTCACTTTGCTTTTTTTCCCAATACACTTCCAATTTTAAATGCAAAAATGTTCTCTGTGTGAATAACCCCTTAATGTACTTTGAGAATTCTGAGTGTTCAAAAACTGGTCAACAATTGAGGGTCTTTTTTTCTGTTGCCCAACACAATAAAACATATGACTGTTTTGAAGTTTTCTTTTTACAAAAACTGCTGCAAATAAAATGCAGTAAGCTGTAAACCTAGAGATGGCAATTTTCTTGGTTGGCAAGGATATCATATCTCTGGTTTTATTGGTCAAAAATTAACAGATGTACTCAATCACTTGATCTAATGTTGTAACATCCTTCTTTTGACATCAAGCAGTGGGTTTCTAAATAACAGGTAACCTGGTCATTGCCAGGGTTCAACAGGATTCATCTGTACTCTAAGGATCTATCTGTACCCACTTCTTCAGCATTAAAAACATAATGTAAAATGACTGTGACAATAATCAGTTATTAGAAAACACCTGTATAAATATCATAGCCAAAATAATTTAGTTCTGTCAGGGACATTCACATCAGTTTTACAATATTTTATCACCTAATGGAGTATAATCATCTGATTTGCTTCTTGTCTGATGCTAATACCTACTTTTACATTTGCTTAGTTATGATCATTTAAAATAAAACAGCCAGACAAGAATCGAGAAGCGAATGAAAAACCAGTTTGTTTGGATTTCTGGAAATATTAAAAGGAACAGTTGAATAAAAAAAATAGTTCCATCATTAGTCAATTCCAAACTCCTATGACTGTCTTTCCCCTGTCAAACACAAACAGACAAGTTTAGCACAATATTCAAGCTGCTCTTTTTAATTAATGATTTAGTTTTATTCAACAAGAACAAATTAAGCTCATCAAAATTGACAGTGACTTTATAGTAAGTACATGTAGTTAATTAAAAATGCTCAGTACTTATTTGAGTAAGTACAACGTACAACTACATCACCTTAAAATAAAGTGTAACCCAGTTTTTTCATTCAAACAGCAGATCATGGCGCAAGCAACGAAAAAGGTATGGGTTTGGTTCCCAGACAATGGTTTGTAAATATAAGGATGCATATCCTTATTTGTGGATACCCTCGACCATGTAAATTTATGACACACACCCCACACCCAAGTTTGCTTAACTTTCAGTATGACATTCAGTAAGGATATGTGACAGACCTGAGAATGAATCGGAGGATTGCTGATTATTGCACAAGAGAATTGTATCGCTCTAGTTCCTGTTCAGATGTTGTGTATTCTGTGTAATGTGTTGTGTCGGGCTCCGCGTGGGAAGTGGGCAGAGGGTGTGAGGCGTATTTGTGTTATGATGCTGGTTAGGCAATTCATTTAACTTGAACGGGTTTGTATGAATGTGCAACTGTTCTCAAATAGCAATATTACTGGTTAGGCAAACACTCACTCTCTGGCTATGTTCACGCACTGTATTTAGGGAAGAAAACTTGATTCTTAGTAGTAGATAGGAATGAATCAAACAATGGTCAGGGACCCAAAGTCAATGTACTACCCATGACACCCTTGAGTAAAGCCTGAAACCAGGGTGATAATGGTAGCAACAAACATCATCACCTCTGATTCGAAATGGGCTTTTTTTTCAAGCTGGTGCTCGAAAAATACTCATTCAGTAAATGTCAGTTGAACTCATTCTCAAAAAAGGGATACGTTTTTTGGAAATAGGCTCATTTTACAACTCCCCCAGAGTTAAACAGTTGGGTTTTACCGTTTTCGAATCCATTCAGCCGATTTTCTGATATAGGGGTGGTGATGGCGCAGTGGATAAGACACAGGCCTTGGGTGTGAGAGACCCGGGTTCAAATCCATTGTGAGACGCCAATGTGTCCCAGATAGGGATGGGCAATGATTAATCGTGATTAATCGCATCCAAAATAAAAGTTTGTGTTTACATAATATATGTGTGTGCACTGTGTACAATTAATTTGTATATAGAAATACCCACACATGCATGTATATATTTAAGAAATCTGTGCATGTATATATTTTATATATATTTATTCACAATTAATATTATATATAAATATCAATATTTGATATATTAATAACACATTTTTCTTAAATATATACATGCATGTGTGGGTATTTATATATACAAATTAATTATACACACTACACACACATATATTATGTAAATACAAACTTTTATTTTGGATGAGATTAATCGCGATTAATCGTTGCCCATCCCTAGTCCCAGAGCAAGACACTTAACCCCTAGTTGCTCCATAGGCGTGCGACCTAAGACATATATAGCAATTGTAAGTCGCTTTGGACAAAAGCGTCAGCTAAATGAATAAATATAAATGTAAATGTAAATTTAGGAGAATACAGATAACCAGAAGTCAATGAGACCAGAAACTGTCTGGTTACTGATATTATTCAAAATATCAGAAAATCGGCTGAATGGATTCGAAAACGGTAAAAACCAACTGTTTAACTCTGGGGGAGTTGTAAAATGAGCCTATTTCCCAAAATAAAGTGGAGTATCTCTTTAAAGTTAAGAGTCACTTAAGTTGTAAAATGTGAGTTTCAACGAGCCGTGTGTATGAACAAAAGCAAATATCCCTTTTACGACTTCTCCTCTCACAAACAGAAAGAAATCTGTTTTCCACCTTCTTCTCTTTTGCTCATGTGAATAGACCCTTTTACAGTTGGTAAACATGGTGACGTTTTTTTGTGGGCGGGGCTTAGGTGGAGGCAGAAAGATCCATCTGGCCGCTTCACTAACGCTAGTTAGCAAGGATTGTTAGCTTGTTTTTTAACAATGACTGGAGAAAATCCATGAGATAATCCGATATTATCTTAATGTGTAAGGTCACTCAGTGTCCAGGACCACGATTGTTATTTCCAAAAGTTATTTTTAACGGACGGAACCAGATTGGCCGACCTGTAGCCGCCTACACGCTCACTCGATGCATGGATGATCTGACAGGATTAACGTACGTTACCTCCGTTGAGTGGCCTGACTTCTACACCTACCTTATAGAGAAACCGATCGTAAATAGAAACTGAGGGCATATAAATCTTTAGATGCCTATATGGTCCTGTACAAGACTTGTGTGCACTGCACGATCCGCAGTTCTGCCGAGCCAGCGCCGAGACCACGACAATATAAAGAGTGACATTACAGTGCGATTTTAATGATGTGAATATTTTCTAGAAATAAAAGTTCCAGATACAGCATATTAATTTTTCATCAATTCTTGCACCAAACAACACAACAAGATGACATTTAATAATAGTAACAATTATTTAAGCTCCTTGTGTAGCCGAATCTGTGCTGTTTTGCACTGGCCGCCTCCAGTTTTCACTTTGTTTTGCCTCCAGCTAGCGCCGTGACGTAACTGTGACGTCGGCGCAAAAGGGGTCTATAGAATTCTTAAAAATAAAATACACTGAAGTAAACAATTACACAGAATGAAACTGATGTTGAATAAGGCTGTCACCTTCAAAGCTAAACTTAGACACAACTAGCTAAGAAGACTAGGTCTTTCCCAGAGCCGTCTGTCTGTACCTGCTGAACTTATTCAATATCTTCTCAGGCATAATAACTGATACTGCTGTGAAAACATGTCACAGATACTTTATTCTTCCTTAGAAAGGCTGGTCCTCGACTCTTTTGTGGGAGTAAAACTTTTGAATAAAGTGAGAATAGCATCAATTTTTTCTTATATGCATTATATAAAAAGACATGTCCTCTTACTTGATATTGGTTACAACTTGGTCAAGACGATAGAAAAGATCATGGAAAAGAATACAGCTGGACTTGCTGTTGATATCATGTCCATAGCTTCGTTTCCAGTACTGTTTCAGGTCACCAGCGTATTCCATCACCTTAAGAGACACAACACAGTGTATTTAAACATCTGCAGAAGCATATGACCTCTCACCAGTGTGCAAGCACATTCACAAAAAATATATGTTGGCATTAGACTGACATTCACTGACACTGACATAAAACTTATATACTACCGTTCAAAAGCTCAAGGTCAGTAAGATACTTAAAATGTGTTTGTGTTTGGCTCTTATGTTCACCAAGGCTACATTGACTTTTTTTTTTTTTTTAAAGAAATTAATACTTTTAATCAGCAAGGGCACATTAAACTGATCAAAAGTTACATGCAAGTAATTTATATATATATATATATATATATATATATATACATATACATATACATATGTAAACAATTTGCAACAGAACTCTTTTTCAACATCAATAATAATAATAATACATTTTTTGAGCAGCAAATTAGCATTAGGAGAATTTCTGAAGGATTATTTGACACTGGAGACTTGAGAAATAGCTGCAGAAAATTCAGTTTTGCCATCACAGGAATAAATGTATTCATTTATTCACAGGCTTCATTTATTCGCTCATTTTTTATTTTTTAGGAGTAGGATTTTTTGTAACAATGTAAAAGGCTTTATTGTCAATTTTGATAAATGTCTGCATTCTTGCTGAATAAAAGTAATAATTTCTTTCCTTTTTTACCTTTTGAATTGTTATAATGTTCCATCTGAGGAAGAAATACTCCTGGTATACTTCTAGGTCCTACGATAAAGTAAATAAGGGTAAACAGGAAAAACTTCTCTGTTCCAGTACCTGTGCATCAACCTCGTCAAACAACTGGCACCAGGGCGAGTTCACTTTGAGGATAGTAAACTCGTATGAACACAGGAAGAATGCTGCTTGCATTGAATCTACAAAGAAAAACAAATTTTAAGACAATGTGTAAGTGAACACTGATTTCATTTCGACTTTTTTTTCTCAAAACACTACTTTATTCTCGGAATTTAACGAGTTTAATCTCGCATTATAATGACTTTGATCTCGATATTTAATGAGTTTATTCTCAAGATTGTATTACAACTTTTTTCTCGAAATTTAACGAGTTTAATCTCGCATTATAATGACTTTAATCTCAAGATGGTTTTATTTTTTTATTATTATTGGTTGGCCCTAATCCTCTTCCGTAATACGGTAGAATAAATAAGACATTTCTTTGTTCATATCTTTGTAAAATAAATTAATAATCTCTGTGAAATCTTTGATAAAAGCATGTGCTGGTGTACAGGGCAATCTTGTATTTTTGCACTTTCATCCTATTTTTGGGGCAAAGAAAAAAGGATCAACACTGCCATCTAACGGTTGTAGTGTAGACTGCAGTAGGAACACTATTCGACATTTATTTTCCCTTGCTCACTCTCATCTTTCACTCTCTGTTTGTGCATTGATATACAACTGCTGACAACAGCAGATCAATTGAGCAGTCCTGACCTCTTAACTCTCCGAGTTAAACTTGCTTCAACAACATTTGGTAGTTTTCTTGCTTTTGTGATTCTCATTCCCAACTCTTCCCATATTTCTTCTGTTCTCCATAGAAAAAGCTGCAGCAAACGTGGCCTGTCATCTATAGAATTTAACTACACCATTTCATATGGACACTCAGTGCCTCAATCCATTTCACCAAAAGTTGTTTAAAAAATATTTCTGTGGCTACATTTTACTATTTAAAAATGATGGTACAGATTAGTGCTGTAGTCGCAAACCATGTACAATTTTGAAATTTGAAAGCCCAGCCTTCTCAATCAATTGGAGTTTTGGACACCACAATTTTGTTTATTGATTTTTAACATTTATAAATCATCTCAAAAACCTCTAATCTGATGCATCCTCACTGCCGAGGAAATAAAAACAAAACACGAACAATAGACTTAGAAAAATTCACTTTCTATCTTTAGGTTCTCATCAAAGGTTTATTTGACATGTGAACTGAGGTCAGCCTGAAATGCATTCGGGGAGAAAGCGTGTGCAATAATCTACTCATATGCAAAGTTTTGTGGTTATGGTTGCAAGAAGAGCGTAACATTTAAAGGGAAGTGAATTGGATGCATGTGTTTTAAAATTAAAAAAGCTCTGTCAAGAAAACATAACATAAAAATGATCACAACATTAACACACTTTTAAAATGCACAATAGCACTGTGGATGTTGCTTTATTCCAGGAATTCAACAGGGACTGTGTAACAGTGTCATGATCATGTTATGCAATCACTGACCATCGGTGACGCTGGTGTAAGGGACCTTCAGCCTGTCAGCCATTTTCTCCATTACTCTTTTCATCTCAGGGCCTTCACTGAAACGTTTTACTTCCTCCAAGGCACTCTTGTTGTTCTCCACTTCTTTCACGAACCGTTCACACTGGTCAAAGTAACGCATCAAAGCGTCATTTACAGCAGGTTCCAACTCAACTGAGCAATGAAACAAAACAAAACAAATTTGTAGAATTAACATTATGGGTTTATAAACATGGCACTTTGACTCATAAAACTGGAATAACAAAATGTTACTTTGTAAACGTATTTAATCAGTGGGGGAAGCCAATCAAGAAAGAAATATAGATTAAGATGTCTAATAAAATAAGTCAATCCAAAAAAATTGATTGTTCAAAATGTATTTTTATGTGTTTTCTGTGCTTATCTGCATATACTGGAGCTAACAAGAAGTCTCTTTGTTTGTGTGTGAATTGTAAGCATAATATATAGGCTTTCTATACGTATACTGGTTATAAAGGCGACAAACACAACCAATAAGGCAGATTGCTGAAGGTCCACATAAGCATATTTAAGTTTTTATATGCCCCAAAGTCAATTTAAAATTTCCTTGTGGCTCCTTAAGATATATTTATTTATTTATTTATTTATTTTCAAATAAATGATTAGTGTATTCAACATTTTGGCATTCATATGATGACTTTTGATGTGCCATACATAAACCATGATAGTACTAAAGATACAAATTTAGGTGATAGACCAGTAATGATATCAGCTAATTTTGATATATGATATTGATATATCAGTCAGGATAAAAATCTGAGGAAAAGACTAAAAAGCAACTAAAAACAATTAGTAAAGATAATAAAGAGATCTATAATTGGTTCTTTATGAGCATGTAGAAATGCAGTTGAATTGTTTGGTTAATTACACCAGAATGGAACAAGTTTCCATTTTCTCTCCACTGAATCTCACAGCTGAAACAAGTGAGCACTATCATCATGTATGAAGAGTCAGATGAGCATGCTCATGCTGGAAAACAATGATGGCATGCGATTCAGTGTTTGTGGTAATTGCAGGGTTGGGTCCTCATGCATTACCTTTTTCTTCTATGCGGAGTCCTCTCATTAGTCCCTCTCTGAAAGCGATGGTACTGTTCACACACCTGTGCTTGGAGCTGGTGATCAGTTTCACGCGTCCTTGACGCACATTGTCCTCGGTCAGTAAAGAGGGGAACCATTTAATGAGTCTCTGTGCCAGGTTCATGTGATCCTCACGGCCCTTGTTTACCAGTCGCCCGTCCATCTCATCCTTGTACCACATCTCCCACCGTGACTTTATCTCTGACAAACAGCTTAAGTTGTCGGTCGCATTACGCACGACGAGATTATAAAAGTCGCGCATCTTTTGGATGTTTTTAGCGGTTGGGAACCTCGTCCCGTGCCGGATTATAGCTGTCAAATGAATTTCGCGGCATGTCGAGGAAGGCAGCGTCACGAGGGAGTTGTTTATGGTCAAAATATCCTCGATTAAGTACGTGTTAACCTCCTCATAGCGACCTTTGGTGCCAAAATACCTAGCGATCTCTGGTATGCTGCGTTTTGTGGGTGAGTGGATGCTACAAGATGACATAAACGCCCAGTAACTTATGATGAAGTGAAAAAGAACAAAACATATCGTTGTTACCACTTGTTTGGCCATGTTTGTGTTTTGGGGTGCGTTGCTCGGCGTCTCCTAGTTGCCTGGTTTTGCCTTTGCGCAACTAAAAAGTGACTCATTTCACTAGACTTTACTCGCAAGCTGATGTTTACACTGATTGAGGACCTAGAAATGTTGGCCAAATAGTAGCTTTCCCTGTTTTTCTGCATCTGCGCTGGTAGTGCTGCCCCTTCAAGATACCTTGGGATTCTATCATGAAACCCCTGGGCATTTCCAATCGCGGAAAAGTCATGGTCAATCCATAAATTCTTAAAAGTCAGGGAAAATATGCGTCTTAAAAGTCAGGGAATATTCATACTGTCAGAAATTTAGGCTATTTGGGATTATTTTTGGGGTTACCTTTACTTTTGTGAAGATTTTTTTGTGACACTTATTTTGGTCAACCATTTTCGTTGAAAGAATTCATTAAATGAACCGCTTCATAAAGTTGTTAAGTTGTAAATCAACTTAAATCAAAGTGAAAACAGCTAGCCTTGTATGACTATTGGCGTCTGTATAACAACTAGACGCATACAAAAAAATATAACTAAATGTAATTCAATTTAAACTATTTTGCCACGGAAAATAAGGTGGCCAATATCGACTTCACTTGTGAATGTAAATCCAGTGTTAAATTCTGGTTGGACCTCGGAGAGGGGGCGGGACGTTACCACATAGTACCACGTCACAGACAGTGGAAGAAGACGGGATCCCCCTCCCTCCTCCTTTTTTCTTTCACGCAGCACCGAGCGATTTTTTAGCAATCCGCCCACTGACGTGCACGTCTCCAGCTTCGTACACTCGGCCAAAACCACCACCAGCCCCATCACAACACATCTACCCACTTCTGACAGGGATATATTACGCGAAAGCGGGATTGTCAGGAGAAGCGTGTTGTTTTGGCCTGGTTCGCGATCGCGTTGGATCGCCCCCGCTCAGGATCGGACCAGCTACAAGTCTCCTTTGGGAAAAAAAAGAAGAAAAACAAACACGGTGAGTTCGACTGAACTGAGCTGTTGATCTCTAAGTTCTCTAGGGCCTTTTTAAGAACACGTTTCTTGTATGTTGACGTCAACTAGTCCTCTATATGTAAATAATAACCCCCCCACTGTGGACTAGGGGGATTTATTTTCCTCTAGGGTCGAGTGATCCTTTGCTGTGTAATCTCTCTTTAATCGCTTGCCTAGTCATCTGGACCAGCTCTGCCGATTCCGAAGGTAAAGAGGTGTTATGACACGACACACCGGGCAGGAAATGCTAGCTCTTGCCTCGCAACAATAGTGCAAAGAATATTTGTTGGTGATTTCGTTTTGTAATAATCAACCATAACGCGCCAGACGCAATAGTTAAACATAACCGCAAAAATAATCACAATGACTCAGTGACATGCTGTCGAGTGTGGCGTGAGAAAGGGTGATAGTTAAGAGACTGAGGTTATTTGTGGTTGTTTACGCAACTTAGTCCGATTTATGTCCAAATTACAATTTTTGCCAACTATGCCACCAAACGATTAAGGTATCGTTTACCCAAAAATGAAATTTAGTGTGGGAAGTATCCAGTGACTCAGACTTTCACTCTGTTATTTTCGCCTCGCTCGCTCAAGTCAAATGGTTTTTGGAGTCCCTCCCTACTAGGGACAACTTACTTTAATACGATTTCAAACTAATGTTACATATAAAATGTTGCTTGAAATGGCTTTCGGATTTCATGTGAATTTTTTTTTATTTATTATTGTTAATATTACTATTGCCTTTCACACTTGCTAAATCAGATATGCCCAACAATCATATTTTGAATAGGTTAACAATCTGAACAAGGCTTCTGTCCCCTAATTTTTGTTTATAAAAAGGTTAATATATATATTTAAAATGATATTTCACTGTTTTTATGACCTCCTTTGGGTGGTTTCAAGCATCAGGCCTATGCTCCAACATTGTTCCAAACCTGTATGACTTTCCTTCTTCCTGTTTTTTCGTGCACTAAAAAAGGGAGATGTTTTAGAAAACCATTCACTTATTTTTCATCTTTTCCATGAACTAAAATGAATTATGGCTAATATAACTTCTCTTTTTGTGCTCCATGGAAAACAGTAATTTGGTTTTTTTTAACAACATGAGGGTGAGTTAATTAAGTATTCATTTTGTGGTAAAGTCTTCTGGTCTGTTTAAATGGTGGCAGGAAAAATATCATTTGTACCTGAAATCCAGTTAGTTTTTTTGCACTCTCTCTGAATCCATTCAGAGACACATGAGTGATACACATACATGAGTGATGCCTGATGGCTCTTACATGTCTCTTGATTTTTCTACTGATTTATTAATATTTGTCCACTAGAGCTGTAAAACTACTCCTGCGTCCTCACAGTTGATAATTTATGTACTGAAAGCAATGAGGACTTTGACCTTGTTCTTTTTGCTTTACAGTATATGGAGAATATCTTGGAAGAGAGTATTGACCCGTCATAATGCTGTAAAATCACATGACCTTAAAAGGATAGTTCACTTTAAAATATTTGGTATGTTTTAGCTTACCTCAAGGGCATTCAAGATGTAGGTCTATTTGTTTCCGCAGTAGTTTCAGTTTTGATATTTTTAGTCTTTTATTTTTAGTTCTTGTCTATCAATGTAGGTCTATGGTCACCACCACCTCAAACAGCATGCACCTCATAGACCTCCATTATATGACAAATAGACACGAACGGTTTGACCTAAAAATAGTAAGAGAGAAGAGTTAAAACAATTGCCTGATCTTTTTATAGGGCATGGAGGGAAAGCTGAATAAAATCTAGTGTCAGCTGTTTTCCGTTTTGTTGAGTTGGCCATAGTTCTGTTAGTTTGAGACCCAAGGTAACAGATTGTTTCAGTCTAAAGAGACTAAGGAATGACTTGAAACTGGGCCACATCATGGAAGCCATAGTGAGAAAAATGTGTTTCTAAATACTGGAAATGAGAGCAGGAAAGAGGGAGATAGCAACATGTTTCACACATAGGCCTAAATGTATAAAGGAAGATATGAATCACTGGTCTCTGGTGAGCAGACGTGTAAAGTCCAGGGGTCAGAAAGTAAAAGTCCTTCCATATGTTTATTCCACCCATGAATTTTGCTGGTGATATGTTATTTTATGTATCCATGTAATCTTAAACAAGTTAGATGTGATGTAAGATTAAAACCAGTGATTCATCTGGTTTTGCAAATTGCAATATAAGGATGTGGAGTCTTTGTGACATGTCTCTTCAGTTTCTTTCTTACTACACCCTTTCTCTTTCAGTTTTTCCAGTGCTTTCTTTTTCTTTCTATCTCTCTGTTTTTAATTTTTTTACTCGCACACATTATCTTGTTCCTGTTACTTCATACAATGTGTCCTACTTAAAGTGAAGTGTCATACAGTCTAATTATAGGAAGAGGTCTATATTTTTATCATCAATATCCCAAGGAGGTTAATAACAACATTCACAAGCAGTGCCATCCCTCAAAATCATTGGGCCCGGGACAGTTTTTTTTTTTTTAATGGGTGGGCTCAGTGAGGAGACACCTTATCCTAGGAGACATTAGTAGGTCCCCTTTGTTACAGATCATAGGTAAGTGGGAGGTTGTCTTGTAGTAATCTGTTTGTTTCTCTTTTTCTGTCTGTTAAGTGTAGGTGTGAAATATAGCCTATTCCCCTCTCACCACATTTATCTAGGTTAACTTAGAGGAAGTAGTCATGTTAAGTTTCTGATACTTGCATGTTTCAAATAATAAGCCATATTTGAGGTTGATGGATGATTAGAGAATGTTTGGATTTCCTGCCTTTGAGGACCCACCGTTAACATCCTCACGGACTGCATGTCTGTACCAAACTGTATTGGGCAATGTAGCTACGAATGTGAAAAACAGGTATGCTTTTTTTTGGTTCGTTTAGATGTCTTTGATCCATGCTGTGTTCATGTTTCTGTCGAACCGCACCAAAGTTCATTTGGAAGTGGAACGAGATTATTTCAGCGGTCTCGGTGTTCACCAGGGTTCAGATGGCAGCATTCACACTTAATCAAATGAACAGCACCATTTTAATCGAACCAAAACTGCCATGTGTGAACAGCCCATTTACTCTTCGAAAGCTATGAAAACCAACTGCGGTTTGCAATACCTCGCCATCATGTTTGTATGAATGTTAGACAAGCTTCATAAGTGCGTTTAGAAGGCAGGTGGTGTTTTGATGTGGTTTTAAGTGCAAGACTCTGGAGTATTCCAGCTGTGTTTTCAACCAGTTAATGCACTGATTACACACTTCGCTTCATAACATGCATAAAAAATACACGATTACTCAAGGTTAAATATCAGAATTAGGTCTTATTAACAAAATGTGAAGGCACAGAGTGAGTATAATGAGGTAATAACTAACAACTGTAAAGCATGTTTTGGGAGACCCGAATGCCCTCAATACCACTCTGTTTGTAGCATAGTGTTCTTGTAATTTGTAAGATTATACTATTATATTCTTATATGCTGTTTATGGATGTGTGTGTTCAACTGCCAGGGTTTTCTATACATTGCTGTTTCTGGTTGTATTTTTGTTTGTTTTTAAGGCAGAAAATAAGGAAGAGAAATTTAAAAATGTGTTGCCAGGAAATTAAATTTGAGGAAGTACGTTGTGGTTGAGTTACTAAAATGGGAATGTGTGACCTCTGGGGAGGATTTGTGCTTTCTGGGGCATAAATGTTCAAGTTATGTGGAGGTCAGATAGTTCCTGCTTAGAGGATGGTTATGAGAATTGCATACAAATAAGATTAGGCCTGCCTAATTGATTGAAACTTTTAAAAATGCAAATGCAAAGCAGGTAGAGCTGAGGTTATGGGAGTTTGCTTAGAGCCGCAGGTGTTTAGAGGAGCTGGGATGGACGAGGACATGGTCAAGGTCGCACGAAAGGAGGAGTACATGCTTTGCATAACAGCAGTTACTTTGTATTTCTTTATAAGAAAATAAGGGACTGTATTTTGAAAATAGCAGATGCTCCTTCTCATTATCCACACACACACAAACACACACACAGACGGGGTGTGGGAATGAAAAGACCTTCAACAACAGTTTTGTGGACAATATCAATGGACAACTTATGGAGATTTATACAACTTTTTCTTT